CTATCCTCAAATCCGTCTTTGTTCATTACCTTGGATGACACCTAGACACACGTTTAACATGGAATCAGCACACATGACTACAACGACAAGACCTAAACAAACGCTAGGTCTTCTCTACAAGCTTATAGGACGACAATACGGGCTATCGACAAAAACCAAACTTACAATCTACAAAACTACAACCGATTTGGACAACGAGAATAGAATCTTCCAATATCCAGTCTCCATTTTTTCAATCTAAAGTCCGCAGATCAATTATTAATACTTCGTATTATGTCTCAAATTCTACCCTTCTCAACGATCTTAAAATTCCATTGATTCAAAAATTAATTCTTCACAAATTTAACAAGTTTTATAATGAACAATCTTTCCCAAGCTTTGTGGAATAGGACCCTTCCCTACAAGACTTCTCAAGAGGAAATGGCCCCTATTCTGAAGAATAGGTAGTGAAATTTCACGAGTGAAGTGAACTGGGAGAATAATATTTATTATTTTCTCCCCCAATATAAATAGTTGCATATATAGAAAAACAAGATTGTTACATTTATTATAAAAAAAAATTAAGAGGTCTGATACTTATAGATACTTATATGATGAAAATGTGTGATACTTATATGATACTTATAAAATACTTGATAGATTTTATTTTTTCCAGATCCAACCATTTCACACTTTAAATCAATTCTTTCAATTAATTAATCTTTCTATGTAAGTTTTTGGTTGAAACGAAAAAGCTAGTGTCCCGCTCGTGACATGAGCTTTTTCATGTCAACCAAGACCTTACAAAGAAAGATTAATTAATTGAATGAAGTAATTTGGTCAATCAGACCACTAAATTAATTATAAGAGGCACACATAATATTTTTTGAGAATTAAGAAATCCATAGGTTTTTGTAATTTATCTAAAGAAGTGTTCCCTTATGTTTCGACCCTCTTGTTTTTTAAATCTTTTCTGAATTTATAAATTCCTTGTAATTGGTTTTGTTTGGTAGGAGTTGAAAATTGGTTGACAAGTCATTAGTAGATTAAACAGTACGGTGACGAAAGTGCGGTGGCTCCGGGAGACACCTGTACCATATGGCCGGTTTCCCATGTCGGCTGCCATCTTCATTTATATTGCAGCAGTCACAAATCGTGACATATGGGCGCGTGAAGCGTCTCCCTGTGAGAACCCGATACAAAGCCAATCGAACATATGACCCCGTCACCACGTAACCGGAGACGCGTCATTGGAAAGGGTCGTCCTTATCAATTTTTAATTGTTCCCCCGTTTTAAAGAGTTACGGCCAGCGGTTTCGGCCTTTGGGAAAAACGGTTAATCCGGAGATAATAGGACGTTGTTCGAATCTGCGCTACGAGCGGGAGAGGGTGGTCGAACTGGTCGGTTTGTAAGGAAAGTTAGTCATTAGCCTGGCCACACGCTGTGATCCTAATCACGTGGTTTACACGGATTACCTCTGCCTCTTTGTGACCAGCCCTTAGCCGGCCGACTTCTCTAAACTTTGAAAATAAAACCACCAAACCGTGTAAATCTCTCAGTCGATGAAGGCTTCTGACTATGGACAGCAGAACAAAAAACCATGTTAACGATCGTGATGATAACGCTGGTAAACAGCGCACACTTCTGCGTTTCAAGATAAACCGTATTTGAAATAACCGGTCAACCTTCAAAATGTGTCGTTAAATCCTTTATAAACTGGTCAAAAAGAAAGTCTAACTAACAGGCGAATCAAATCAAGGTAAATTCCGTGCAGTTATTGATGCAACTCTGTAAAACACATTATTGTTATAATCCAATTTGTCAAAAGAAAGTGGAAAAGAAGAATTGTACAAGTCGAATCAGGTCGTCCTATATTCCTGAACCTTTCCTGAATTTAAAATATAAATTGAATCACGAATTTACATTTATTTATTAATTACTGAAAACACAGACATATAATAAGTCTAGTTTTAAATTAAACGTTCCAAGGCGACAAAAAATTGAAAATACAAATAAATGAGTTGTTTATTCATAATATATATTGTACTTGTAGCTGTGGTTGTTGCGACGTAAAAAATGTATTATTGCTGTGTTCAATTTTAAAAAGGCTTTTTGATTAGATATTTCTGTTATTAACTACTAAATTTACAGTTTTCGTGGTCCGCTTGATCAATTAGTTTTTAGTTGACATAAAAAAGTCAGTGTCACGAGCGGGATTCGAACCCACGACCTTCGTCTTGATACGCCGCTACTCTACCACTTGAGCTTGAGGTTGTGGGTTCGAATCCCGCCCGTGACATGGACTTTTTTATCTCAACTAAATACCTTAATTAATTGAATGTTATTAACTACAAAGAATGTACACCGAAAGGCAAAATATTCCACCCAATTGATTTTTTTTTTTCATTTTCTCGATAAAATACAATTCTGCTCTTAATTTTCTCAATGTTTTTATCAATAAATATTTGTTTATGTTATGTTTTAAATTGGGAATATTAATTAGAGTTAAAAACACTTAATCCTTTATCCAAAACAAGAATAAAGGATTTTTCAATGCTTACTTTTTAATGAATTTAAAATGTTTTTTCAGTCTCATTTGAATTCTGAGGCAAGAAAGATTTTAGTTTTCATCTTTGTTTTCTTAATTTCAATTTTGAAACTTAAAAATGCCACTTAGTGCTGAGATGTTGCGGGTGATGCGGCACTTATTGTTGATGGACGTTCCATCAGGTCTGAGGCTATTGCCATCGGTGTTCCCTACGAAACTCTGCAAGACTTTTTTCGAGTTCGACAGTTTTCGAGAAAAAACCATACAAGGCCCTGTTCTAGACGCTCTCGGGTAACAGAACCCCAGAATGACAGTTTTTTGACTTTGAAAATATTGCGAAACCGGCACCTTACGTTCAAGCGATTCATCAGCTCCAGTAAGTTCGAGGAGTCCAAATTTCTGAACGCACTGCGCGAAGAAGATTCAATCAGTATGGATGATGGGATTACGCCTCGTAAGAGGAGCAGAAATGACCACACAAATTGGTTGAAAGTACGCCGAGGCGTTTTCGAGATGTAATTAGGGCAAGATAAGGAAATACGCGATCTTGAAATGTTAATTAAAATTCTAATTAAAACAAATTTTTCTATCCGTCTTTTTATATTTTTCATTTTCCTTAGCAATTTACATTTTTTAAAACTTTTTTAGACAAAGACTCAATTATTAAACGTTTAAAAACGTGAAACTTCGATTAATATATAAAAATATATAGAAATCAAGTTGTATTACAAGTGGGTGGATGCTTTTGCCTATCAGTGTATGAAAATTTAAATTACTAAGTATTTAATTAAGTCAGCTAATTATTCAACGATTCTAATTTTAATTTTGTAGTAAAAAATCTGGTGTAAGGCCAATTTGAAAGAAAACAAAAACACTGTGTTCCTTCGACAAGATTTCGAGGAATATATCTCCTTCATCAGGACCTTGAAACTATTACTTAAATAATTCTCAAGGTTAACAAATATAAACATCAAGTTACAGTTTGCCTACGAGATGTACAACCCGTTCTTGATGAACGAAGTCAGAATTTTTCCATTTTTTCAACTTGGCCTTATTCCTGTTTTTAGTATGAAATTATAATATTAAAGGCCGATATCAGTTATATGAAGATAAAAATTTGTTTATACTTAGTATACTTCTCAGATTTGGTATTTAATTTGCCTTTAATTAAAAAAATAAGATGTTATCTCTTTTTTTAAAATACTGATGAATGATAAAAAAACTATTTCTGGCTCAATAATTCCCCAAAGTAATTTAAACTGCTATTACGTTAAATAAGTTTGAAAAATAAGGGAGGGAATTTCCATTGTTCAGCAGTGCCATCAAGTTGTAGACAAAAGGAGTGCTGCTCCGGTGTATTCCTAGATTTTCGATCGGGTATGTCACTCGGGGCTACTCTGGAAGATTAAGAGATTCCTCTCTTCTACTACTTGATCCTAAAATCAAACCTATCCGACAGATACTTTCAAGTCCCCGGTGGCCCCTCTTTATCGGTCGGCTATCGCACAGCTGCAGGGGTACCGCGAGGCAGTGACTTAGGACTTATCTTCTACACACTATAAACCGCAGATATTCCAAATTTCCAACATTTCCTGAAGCGATCCTCACCAGATATGAAGATGCTACCGCCGTCGATTGCTCTAATAAAAATCCTGCCATTTCAACCAGAAACCTGCAAATCCATGTCACACCCCTTGAGCAGTTGTACAGAAGGTGGAAGATGACTATAAACATACAGAAATGTGAACATTTCACTTTCGGGGAATAACGATGCCCCTTTTCCTACGAGCCAGTAGTCCACTTTCTTGGGCTATATATTGGACAAAGGACTTGCGTACATGGAACCCTAGCACAAGAACTAAAAGGACTTTTCAAATTTCATAAAGATTCCTGGACAAACGATCCGAACTGAATCTACAAAATAAAAGACTCATTTCTATTTCTATTTTTAGACCCGTATGGACATACGGCATCGAACTTTGTTGTCAAACAAAACGTTTCCACCTCCAACGTATCCAAACCCTACAATCCAAAATTCTTCGAACTATCGTTCATGCTCCTTTCTATGTATCCAATCTTACCATTCACAGTGGCCTTAATATCAAATATGTTCTGGACGTAGCGAAAAACCGCTACGAGAAGTTGCACCAATTATCCAGTCTCAGAAACCATGTACTCTCCAAGTAATCCTCCCCTAAGACTTAACAGTACCCTGATCATAAAACAGCGACCTCCCTGGTAACAGTGAAAGTGATTAACACTAACATACAGGACTACTAATGAGTAGTTCCAATTTTTTCTTATTTATGTATATTTTTCATGTTCATTTTGTTTTGTGTTCTAAAAGTAATCAAATTTACTTAAGCGCAGTACTTGGCGCAGTTAGAAAGAAAGAGAAAATAATTTAAAAAAATTGAGTCTAGTCATTAAATAGTACAATTTTAAAAAAATAAAATGTTTTACTATTTACAGGTCGCATATTGTATGACATACCCTGTAAAGTCTGCCAGGATCACTCTTCGGGAAAACACTACGGAATATTTGCTTGCGACGGGTAATAAAATCATTTGAAGTATTTATTGAAACATATTTTACAATATTTTTTCAACATGCATAGATTTAATGTTGTGTTTAAAATTTAAAAATTAATAAATATATTATTCTTTTGTTGCAGGTGTGCTGGCTTTTTCAAGGTGAGTTATTTGGATTAGATTGTTTGTCAACTATTGCGTTAAGCCTTACATTTATAAGATTAATGTTTGAAAATAAAAATAGGAGTTTATCACTCAAAAAATATTTACAAGCGTTTTTCAATCTGAATTTCTGAATCAGATCAGAATCCTTGACTCATGCATGGCGTCATAGGTGACAGTAAATAATTACCTAGAAAAGGCTATCTCGAATAGGTTAATTTTTTTCTTTTTAAAAATTCTTTAGAGGTCGATAAGAAGGAACAGGCAGTACGTCTGTAAGGTCAAAGGGGAAGGCGGATGCCTGGTAGACAAAACCCACAGGAACCAGTGCCGGGCCTGCAGGCTGACGAAATGTCTAGAAGCGGGGATGAACAGAGATGGTAAGTTTGAAAATAAATTAAATTTGTTAATTACGGTCAATCGACATTTCTATGTGAAAATACCAACCATCAGAATCTACCTAAAGAACTGTGATCATAAGTGTTTTTTTTTAAAGATTTGTGTTTATTTTGGTCATCGTGACCCACCTATTTATGCTATTATATTTTGCTATGTTGCACGGATTTCTCTTTCCCCCCATTAATGGTATAGATTTTGCCAAAAACCTAGATTGTTAGAGAGAAATTTGAACCATATCAGAAAGGTTTAAGATAATATTTAATAATGTGTGGTGATTAGTGACCGTTAATCGATAATTATTCAGAAATCGTGAGATGCGGTCTGGTGTGATGTAGGGGGCACTATCAACACGACACACAAAAATGGCACAATTACACAGAAGACAAACACTTTGAGCCCTGAAGATGATTTCAATAAAGATCGAAACGTTGGCACGATAAAGAAAATGTTTTTCTGAAATCTACATCACACAAGACCGCATCTCACAATTTCTGAATATTAATATTTAGTCTAGCAGGACGATTCCCAGTCTAATAATAAGAGAAAAAATAAAATTTTATTCACAGGAATAAACAGACAATTTAGACTTTGTTTTGATATGGAATTCCTAATATGGCAACCGTCTTCTCACTTTATACATTCAAGCTTATAAATGCATTCAAGGTAATACATAGACTAATTGATATAAATGACACCAAGGGACAACTATGCCACTTGATCAAAATATATTTGTGCTAAGGTTTGACAAATTTTTACCCTAAGCCTGGTCAATGATTCAGCTTCAAACGGTTTAGATTCCCTTTTTTCCTACAATGATTTTTATACATTTAAATAATTTAGTACTTTTTAAATCCAATGTTTTGATGATCTGACGGACGAAAACTATCAAGCTGTCAGATCTCAATCGACCCAGATCACCTCATAAAATAAGCCTTACAATATTTTTAATCCTGGCCCATTTTCCAAATATCTGTGCACGAATTATGATCTTAAAGACTACAAAATCATGTCATCTACTCGAATTTCTTGACGTACATGTATCAGGACTAGAAGGTCTCGTTGTTTCTGCCCTGATGCTGTTTTCTTTGCATTTGTCTCTTGTCTTCCTACTTTGTCCGGTTTTTCTGTTGCGAACATAGCTTTAAACTATTTGTTCCCAAATTAAGTAGTTTTTTCTCTGAGATGCAACCAAAGTGCACAGTTTTTTAATCTTGGGAGTATTCAGACACCCTGGTATTCTCCAGAGAATCCATGTACTGAATTCCTACAAGAACCCTATGTGGAGCCATGGGGTCCTATCTCTTCTTGCCGGAAACATAGTGCTTTGGTTTAAATGTAGGTGTATAAGAAGGTATACAGGTAAGTGAAGATGATTGCTCTTCTTCGACTCAGATTCACCTTTCTTGTCACTCTTTTTATGGTTGATCAAAATATTTGTCTTCTAGCGTACTACGTTTTCATTTAATAATATTATTGAAAACACATTATAATTAAGAATATATTAATATATTAACCCTCGTCCGTGTTGGTTTATACAGTACGACCAACACGTTTATTAAAAACACACAAAAATCATTGTGGTAACATAAGCTTAAGTTATAATTCTGTTAATGAATTATGCACATGCATATTATATGCATATTTATGCTCAACAGTTTCAATCTTGTTATGACTTCTTACTTGGTTACCCAACTGGGATACTTATTTAACAGAAAAATTTTCGAGGTACTTGTATTCCAGAAAATGTAGGATCCCCTTATAAAGTTTCATGGATCTTTTTGGTGCATTTTCCTAAAATATAATATAATCCCTATTTCTTGCGGACTCACAGGAACCGTTTTCATATATCGGCTACTAGTCCTACAAGAACCCTATGTGAAACCAATGCCCTTGCTTGCTGGACACATACTGCTTTGGTTTAAATATAGGTGTTACGTATCAGCACCGAGTAGGGTGAAGATGATTGGTCTTCTTCGACTCAGGTTCACCTTTTCTGTCAATCTTTTTTTGGATGATCAAAATTCTCGTCTTTTAGCCTAGTGTGTTTTTATTTAATAATGTTATTCAATACAAATATTATATTAAAGAATTCATAAGAACTATATTATCAAAAATTCGTAATATTGCTGTTTTTTTAAAAATGTATTTTTAAATTTATTATGTGAATTATAATAAAAAAATGATGTCTATGGAATATAATAAATAATAAGATAAAAAATATTAATTAATTGTTGTAGCGGTTCAGCACGAACGAGGACCGAGGAATTCGACGCTGAGACGTCAGATGTGCCTTCTTGTGAAAGAGGAGGCGGGCCCTTCTACTCCGTCCATGGATTTGTCCGCCCCCAATGCCTCGCCGCCCCATTTCAGCCCATTTTACACGCCCCAGATTGGCGAAGTCTTGAGCAACCCCGAGGCGATCTGCGAATCAGCTGCAAGACTGCTTTTCATGAATGTGAGATGGGCGAAGAACGTGCCTGCCTTCACGGGACTCAACATGAAAGACCAAGTGAGACTATTATGAATTGTCAGCTAGAATAACTATTTATATAATCGTGTTTACATTGTTTCCTATGTTATGTAGTTGATGAAGAAGTGTTAAGTAACAATTTGTTGTTTTAGACAACGCTGTTGGAAGAGAGCTGGCGTGAGTTGTTCCTCCTCGGCTGGGCCCAGCTCCTCCCATTGACAGACCTGGCGATCCTGGTCGCCAACTCGCCTAGGCTTCTCCAGGAAGCGGCGACTTTCCAGGACACCCTGGCCAAATTGAGGTCGCTCGGGTTGGACCACCACGAGTTCGCCTGTCTCCGGGCTGTGATACTGTTCAAAACAGGTGAGAAAATTCATTGCAGTACTGTACACCTATAGCAATACAGGTCGTTTTGTACAATTTATCTGAGATTTAAAAAAATCAATATGATCCTTATTGTAAATTTTTCTGGTACCTGAGTGCTTGTCTGCTAGTTTAATGTCGGTCTTTAGTCCCTTGTTGGTTTAGAAATCAATTTTCAGCAATTTGAAAACATACTGTTCACAAAATTTCGGCTTACCTACCCACTTTTTGTGGCAGGACAAGTCTTTACTAATAAAATAGTGAGTATTGAAGGAAAAAAGTTAAAATAGGAAACTGTAATGATTATACTGGACACTTTAGGTTACCAAGCTAGGCTTAGTGGCTCTTAGCTGTTCGAGCTTGAACAATATAGATGTTGAAACCGATAAATATCACGAAGTTATAGTTAGTAGACTTGTAAGTTAATTTAATAATAAATACAATACAGGCCTACAGAGAAGATGAAACAAAGGCTCTTTCAACAATTGCGCCACTCTAAATTCATATCCTCTGAGACAACACCAACAAACTAATTAAAACGAACGCGGAAACATCTCGGGACCGCCGTTTTCCCTTGAAATACACAAAGTGGGGTCAAAATCGGCGCAGAAACCGCAAAACCTCAAATGAAGACATAGTGAAAGGACCGCGAGATCCTGGAATTGCGAGGATTGGATTCGGTCATAAGAGGCATAAACAACATAAATAAAACATAATTTATTACGATCCCTGGTCCACCAAGGTCGGCATTGAGAGGGCGAATCTTGCTTGGAAAGATCAATGTTTTGCGAAACGGAAGCAAAAGTCGGCACAGTTTTAGCTTTGAATTAATCATCGCTCCTGAGGAAGGCGGCTTTATTAATGGACTATTATAAGCAATTAAAACGGGGCATGGCAAAGGTGTAAAGAAATTGCTCTCCAAAGATTTATCTAATTGCTTTTTTTGCAGCGTTTAATATTAAATTATCCTTCCGTATTAAATCATTAATTCGTAATCAGTGGCAATGAAACAAATTGGAAACGCAACGTAAGTGGTTACAAAAAAGCACAAAGAATACCTACAGTAGAAAGCAAATGTTTTTAAATGATCGAAACAAACAAGAACAGAAACTTAAATTATCTTTTTTACAAAAAAAAAAAAAAAAAGAAACAACGCAAAAAGAACGAAGAAATTACTAAAGAATGTCTGTAATAGCAATAAATTACAGCATCAAATGTAAGGAGAAGAAATGAATTAAACAAAACAAATTCCTTCTTTTGATCAAGTTGATAAATTATTGGGCGTAAATAGTTGTATGGAAATGTGTATACATAACTATCATTTTATTGATTAATATTTACGCCTCATCTTACGCCCATTAATTTATCAACTTGATCCAAACAAGGAATTTGTTTTGTTAATTAATTTCTTGTCCTTACATTTGATGCTGTAATTTATTGCTCTTACAGACATTCTTTAGTAATTATTCATTCACGTGTTAACATACCGCCCACCAAATTTTATTTCATTTAGTTTCTAACAAGTAATGCTTAAAGTTAACTAGGAAGACTTGTTGAAAATAAATGTTTATGTGAAAAGAAACCCACTTATGCTATTTTTATGTATAATACATAATTGGTCGGGCTCGTGACTGGTAGGGTCATGGCCGGCTCCTCATGGCGGTTTTTCTCTCGCTGTAACTGTCATAATAAAATGAATGAAATTTACACATAAAGACATAATCACTTATATAGAATGGGCAGAGAAATAGGAATTGGAGTATCGCTCACAATTAGTCTTATTGTATTTTATTATTGATTTGCTCTATCATATCGCCCACCAAATTGGAAGCACCAATTTGGGTCATTAATTTTTAATAATAATTTTTTAACAATTTTTTTAGTACTGTCCATAAATGATAAACTACCATAGGGGTTTATAATTAGTTTTCGTTGAGTTTAGTTGTTGATTTTTATGTTCAAAACCATCCTAAAAAATTGGACTGTTTTATGTATAACATAATATAATTTTAAGCTGTTTTTTGGTATTAATAATGGTTGAATTTCGAATGATCTGTCAAAACAATTACATCCGTTATTTAAAAAAAATAAAATAAAAAAAGTTAGATTTCTCCGTGGGGTCTGTGGGGTGATGAACCTGTAATTTGGTCGTTACAGATCATTTTGGCCTGCTTATTTTCTCTGGTTGATCTGACAGATCCTTTTCGGCATTTTGCCATCTTCAGTGTGTCTTGATATTTGAATGTTCGAATATAAACTGAATTTTGTTCATTTTGGAATATAAAGTTTATTTTTTTTTTCTGCAAGACTGCTGTGAATGTAAAAGAAGAATTTGAAATTAAATGCTATTTTTTATGCTATTTCCAACCGAGACAAGAAGTTGAGATTTCAGTTCCATTTCGCTTATTGATTTATTGTTAATTTAAGTGGGATTGCAAAATAAACCTACAAAAATTTAATTACATAATCAGTTTCAGCCAGATTTTGTGTCGGAAATATTTCAAATATTAAATTTATTTTAAAAATCACTTCTTTTATTCAAGCCAAAATGTTATTGTTTATTAAAAATAACATTCATTATATTTTAATATGACATTATAAAATAGAACCCATTGTTAAATACTAGTTATGCCTGTTTTAAAACGTCTTATTCCACCCAGTGACAGACAATCATGGCGAGTCGTTCTTTAAAAAAGCCAAGGCTTGTTCTACCAGGCTGATGTGTCTTCTACTTTTATTTTTATTGGAAAGTATCTGGAAGCAATAATTTTTCGACACCAACAAGAGGAATGGTCCTTTGAAATTTTTTTTAAAACGAATTTATCATGTTTTTAATAAATTATCCTATGTCTGAACAAGCCAGAGACGTCAAGTTTAACTTTTTGTCTTTCCAAGCTAAATAAATATAGTTATTATAATCCATGTAAATTTTGATTAAAATCTACGTTGAAATATGCTGCCATGTAATCAGTATTGATCATATCATCGCAATATCGTTTTGGTCTTTGAGGAAAAGTTATGCTTCAATAAGTCATTATTTTCAGCTATGGCATAATTTAGACTATGTGAGACTTGGCTGTTGCATACCTTCCAACGATTATCGTCGAAATCCCACTTGTAAACAGAAGATCGCACTATTCAAAAAAGGAACCGCACCTCAAAGGAAGAGCCGATAACGTGTGATCATTTGCCATTCTTGTTCTTTCGTTATAGCCTTTTAAAGGGATTTCTTAAATGCCTGAATATCGTAAAACGCACCTTGGGTAAATTCTGCCAGAATGGGGTCTCTTCCTTTAAGAACGACCAATATCTGACCCGACGCAGTGGCCAAAATTTGAGTATTACATAAATTTTTATTCCTACCATATGCCAGGAAATTACAGATTTATACTTGTCTAGAGAAAAATTAGCTGAGGTGGGATTAATCATAATTTAAGACGAACTTTATCGATAATCCATCTTGTTCAATAATTTATAATAATTTAACAGAATTATAGTATATAGTATTATTTATAATTATAATATAGTACTTATTAATTATTAGTGTATATTCTTTTAGAAGGTAGTACTGCCTTTCCATGTATAGTTTTATCCTTCCATGGATCCTTACTTGAAGTAGTGCCTGATTGCCTCTGCAGTCTCCTGGCATCCTTAAGATATTCCATGATTGGACTTGCTGTTACTGTATTTTAGACTCTGCTTTTGAATTTTTGCTTGCTTAATTATACTTATCAAGGATATTAGAGAATTCCAACTGGAATAAATATCTGCTTTAGCAGCTATTTATTTCCTTGAGAAATATTCGCTTAATTAATCATCTCAGATGTCTGCAGAATGTGGCAACAAGCTATACGAGCTGCAATGGGCTTTTAATATCAGTTTAGACTCTATGCTAGTTGTTTTTGTGCGTTAGACGCGATTCGACTTGCCATCTTCAGGCTTAAATAGAAAACGACCAACCAAATCATCAGGTCCATCGCCCCTCAGTCAAGTCAATTTTAAAAGAGATCTATTGTTTTTGGCTCGATTTACTCTATCAAAATTAGAAAATCGTCAATATGGATAAATCGTTTTTCCATGTCCATAATTATCTGGCAATTCTAAATTTTTCTTACCCAAGTAAATTTATTTACAACATGTAAAGAAATATTCAAAGATGCATAAGTTCAGCTAAAGCTGCAGCTTTTTCCTTTTATACAAAAGTCCAAAATATATTTCAGAAATGCTATTATATATTAATCAGATGCTTGATGATCTGTTTTTTTTCCAGCCCTCGAAGGAGAAGGGAAATCTCTGGTTGACGTTGCCTCGATCGCTGCGCTGCAGGATCAGACCCAGGTGACCCTCAACAAATACGTGTCTACGGCGTATCCCGACCAGCCGTACAGGTTCGGCAAACTGCTGCTCCTTCTGCCATCGCTGAGACTGGTCTCTGCCAACACGATCGAAGAGATGTTTTTCAGAAGAACAATAGGGCCGATCCCCATCGAGAGGATAATCTGCGACATGTACCGATCGGCCGGAGCCATATGAAAAATATAAGGTCGTGTATTAAACGTAAAAAAACAAAAAACAAAAACACAATATGTTTAAGTCCGAATAAGATCTCAGTTATAACATGTATGTAAATAAGAACAAGTAGATTTATTTTTGTGGAAAATCCACTATTCTGTCTGTACATTTCTTCTGCATTTAAATGATTTTAGATATACCAGACTTTAAATGATCTAAGTAAGATTTATATTTTTTATACCGTTTTATAACAGTAACTGTGATTTTTTTATATTCGATTGTTTCAATTGAACAGAGTTAAGATTTTATGTTAGTGCCTTCCTTGAGATAGTGCAATAAGTTGTACATAGAAGACATTCTTTAAGTATGTTACTTAATTATATAATTAATTTTTCGAAGTCTTTTCGTTTATCCTTATTTCCAACGGAAAACAACTGTTCTCGTAATAAAACAAGAGAAATTATATTGCACACAACGAGAAATATAAATATTTTTGTGCTTTTTTCACGTTTTCTTTTTGTTTACGAAATGAGTCCAAATGATATCAATCATTCAAAAATTCGACCTTCGTTTATCATCTAAAGAAGGTGTGCCGTTTGCATTCTATCACGCGGACGTTCTTGCTCTATGTGGGTTTTTCTATTCATTTTAACCTTTTGCACAGGCTTTAAAACGAGTAAACCGCAGCCACATTGAGACAAAGAGACGGTAATGAAGGATATACGTCCCTGAACCTTCGCCGGTGCCGGTCGTTGAAAAACTACAGGCCTTTGAATGGTTTATTTCTTTATGAGACAGTCTTCGTGTTGTCGTTTGCGATAGTTTGGTTTATAGCGTGGACATTGCGCGCTTTTGCACTTACTCCCAGGTCCGACGACCTTTATATTTATGACCCATAGACTTTTACCGTTTCACAACTGTCTTTATTCTGGGAAACATTATTAATCCGTTTGAACTGATTTAAGCTGACCATAATGGGAAAAATGCCACTTTTATGTTACAAACACATACACGGAGAAGAAAACTTAAATTGTACTTATATGTCTCTAAGTAGTTCTAAGTAGTGACATGCAACATTCCTACTATTAACATTTTTGTTTAAAATATGAATGGAAAAAAGAGGAAAAACTGAGATCTCTTTCATTTGTATTCACTTTATAATTTTATTGTTTTTAATATGAAATACTCAAGTGAGCTTTACCAGATATTTTCCTGTACCAGTAATCATTGAAAAACGGTTCTGAAGCTTTTGACATCTCAGAGGGTTTGCGTACTTCAAGATAATGGATGTTTCGGCGTATGCTGATGATTTGGCATTAATGCTAGCCCAACAGGCGGACCAGAAGGAAACTTTCCTAGAGTTTGAAACTACTGCCAAAGAGGTCAAAATAACCCAATATGATTTCTGACTGGAAATATTCATTTTCAGGACGTTAAGGTTTTCAATATTTGGGTGAAATTTTGACTTTTTGGTAAATTGGGGGCGAGCCTATGTATACTTCCACTTTTTAAACTTAATAGTAAGATATAACTAGAGCAGCCAAATTATCTATCTTCAAAAACGTAAGCATTCACCAGAGGGGTGTCTTATGAAACGGGATGACCGGGATGTCAGCTGCTATGACATAGAATGGAAAAGAAAAGATGTTGCAAACTCATCTATATGGGTTGTAAATAGTTTATTAGGCCTGTAAAGATGGCTTATTCATTATTTATTAGTAGTTATTTTGCTGAAGTTAAGCTAGATTTGTCTTCGCGAGTTTTTTCATTTTATCCTTTTAACCTACGGTTGCGATATAATTCTTTTTACTAATGTGTGTTTCGTTTTCTTTGGATAGTCTTCCTTATATGATAAAATATGGTAAGATATTGTGAAATAAAAATATTTCTCAAGAAATACGTTGTTTTATACTAATATCCGATATGAAATGAAAAACATGTCTAAAGTGTACCTAATGATGACAATATCGGAGACTAGGAAGCTAAGGAGATCAACTCGATCCTCCTCTTAAGAAGCATTACGTCATAACAATAATGCTTCATATAATAAGAAATGACACTTATGGCTGCAATTCTTTTCCTTGGGTCTTTTTGATATCCTAGGTTATATCTCCATTGAGCAGTAGCTTTGCATTTGAATATAATAATGGTGGCCACATTGTATAACCTTCAAATGAGTTCATCCTTGAATATACCCATGCTTAGGTATGTCCTCAGATGTCAGAGACCCCTTATCACTTCCCTGAATTTTACCCTCTCTAGCTTTAGTAATGTGTTTGCCGATTTGGGGGGGGCTCTTTAATCTTAAATTCACTGTGTCCGGCAACTCTGAGTTCTTTGACCTCTTTTTTTTCTGAGATGGAAGATTCTGTATTTGTCTTTTTTGTCCTAAGTATAATTTCAATCTCATATATGATCTTGCAGATCTTCCTTTGCCCTCCATTACCAAGAACCGGTGTGTACGGTTGTATTGTTCCTCCCGAATTTGGATGTGACCTACATTGTTTATTTTAGATGTGACCTTTTTATATGCTAATATAAACTTATACAGATATTTAATGCTTTAATAGCTGCTTGGATATCTGGTGTTATGAGGAATTTTTTGTCAATGTAACTTCTTTTAAAGCAGAAACGTTGAAGTTCAATTCACGTTCAATTGAAAGACAGGGTGTACTTACCTAATGAGGTTGATTCGTATTTTGGGTTAGTACAGAAAATACTAAAGTGTTTTTAGTAAGGTATATTAGTTCATTATTCAATCCTTAATTGTACAGTTTTTATGTTAACCCTTCCTGGCCGAATGCTGCCTGAAACCAACACCAATTACAGCAATTTTGTTAATGATTAACGGAAAATTCCGTAATTCACGGGCGGGTGCAGTGTTGTGATATGGATTGTCATCACCAGAGGTAAGTTTACTTGCTAATTGCTGAGTTTTTATGTAGGCAAATGATTCCTTATTTTATCAAAAATATTTTCATTGTCTAAACATTCCATACGAATTATGAGAACACAAATTTTTTAATGCAATGAATGGCTGAATATAAGGTGTTTTCATTGTATATCGCCTACGCGCACTTTAAAACCCTACATAAATTGATAATATTTTCTCATTTTTATCTTTTTCAGCATTTCAGAAAATGGGTACAAAAAGAAAAAAAAATTACAGAAGATGGCGAAATGCCGAAACATGTTTCACATACCAACGCAGCGAAGAGAAAAAAAAATCGGTAACAATCAAATTACCGGCCAACAAAGAAATTCCTAAATCAACTTTTATGTATTGAAATAAAAAGAGGCAACAGAGCCTTATGGTATTTTTTCAATTATGTGAAAAATTTTATGTGATAAGTAATTGCGTTTCATTATAAAGTAGTTATAAAATATTGTACACGGAAAATAAAGGCGTAATTATCATTAACGCCATTTTTGTCTCACGAGGTAAAAATAAAACATGAAACAAGGTCTCTCAGAAGAAAACATGTATCATTATTATAGATAACTCAATAAAACCAATTGCCAATTACTTTTAGCTCGATAATAAGATCAACCAGGAATTAAACTTTCTAAAAAAGCCTATTCCACAAAAGAGGCTACAACAATCCGCACAGGTTGTCCGCATCGTTAAGCATTTTAGTCATACTGTTTCTTTACCTGAGGACTTGAAACGCCACCGGCTCAAGCTAATTTCCGAGATTAAAACGGATGAGCGGTTGTGGATTTGTACCTGGAAATTAACTTAGGAGATCATTAAAAGAAATAATAGAAAAAAAAGAAGTGTAAACCTATTTAACTGTTTTGGTGTTTCTGAAGGATGATAATAAGAAAATCTTCTTTCTTTTAGATTAGGCTAGCACTTAACACTAAATGACTATGTTTAAGCATAAACTAATCCTTTAAGACGGAGGTTCGTTGAATCGATCTAATTAATATTGGGGTAAAATAGACCAATCATTACTATTTGTAGGATAGGACTGTAGAAATACAGTTCAACTTATTAATTAATGAAGGAGAGAGAAGCGAAGTGCAGAAAATATGGTACACAAATAAGGACATGTCATATAAACAAACTCACGAATAAGCTGGCCCCTCTATCTATCCATTTAGCTCGATCTCTTTTTCTCTTTATCTACTATTAATCATTGTTGATGAAGATAAAGGATCGTCATCAGTTTGCGTATTCATTAAAATTAAATTGTTTCAATTCATATTAAGTAGTAGTTCAGTAGTTCATAGACTTACAGAACTTTGCACAATTAAATAAGGTATAACATCATCATCTATGTATCAATTTAGCTCGATCTCTCTTTATCTTTATCTACTATTAATCATTGTTGATGCAGATGAAGGATCATCATCTTTATATCGTGGTTGCATATAATTCATTAGTATTAAATTGTTTCAATTCATATTAAGTAGTAGTTCAGTAGTTCATAGACTTACAGAACTTTGCACAATTAAATAAGGTATGTGGACATCATCATCTACCTGTCTATTTAGCTCGATCTATTTTTTTCTTTATCTACTATTAATCATTGTTGATGAACATGAAGGATCATCATCTTTATGGCGTGATTCGATCAGTCGTGCTTTGCAATTTTATTATTAATGTCTATGTCCCTGTTTTGATCTTTTTTTATCCATTGTTTTCTAACCAATATCAAGAGTGTTCAAAATAAAGGTTTTGTGAATATATAAATATTTAATTTTTAAATATTATGACATTGTATGTTCTCCAATCGTCCTTGGAAGGAGTAAATAGAGTGATTTGTTGTCCTTTTCTATGGATGTAATTAAGGATTGTGTTAAATTTTAAATTACGTATTAAGTTGTACATAGATCATTCTTTTGTTGGTGTTGGCTCTAAGTTCCTAGATTTACGACGGTTCCGCGGCGATTCGCGTGCTTTGAATTGCAGTCAATTAGGAAAAGTTCAAGGGCGTGCAAGGCCGGTTTTTATTATTTTCAAAACTACATCCCGTACCCGTTTTTGTTTTTTGCCACACGGCTCAGACCGCACCGAGGTTCTCGTCATTACGTACGAATCAGATTAGACGCTTATTGAGACCCCTCGAAGGTAAATACAAATAATGAAAGGTTTCCCACTCATTCTCACCGATCGTTAATTTCCATTTGACGCCCTTGCTTATCTATAATCAGACTAATCTTAACTAGTTTGTTAAGATTAGAAAAACAAAACTGCGCGTGATTGCAGATCAAGGAAGTCTCAACGTTATTACGTTCTTATAAGGATATAATTTATTGATTTTAAAGATAAAATGCACATAGGCAGTATGGACAGCAGATAATCAATTATCAATGCCAAAATGAGCGTTATCTCTAAACCG